TTTACATTTCATATGCAGTTTTTTATTTACACTTTAAGAAATAAAATATACTATAACTGTATATTTTAGCCCTTTAATGGGGCAATAACCTCAAAGGTGCAACTAAAAGTGAGCATATTAGTACCATACAAGTATGCATGTTTTAAGGGTAGATAAGTTACAAAGGTGCACCTTTGAGGGTACCTCATGAAAAATAAACATGGTGTTACATAAGTATGGTATCATGGTAAATTTGTGGTTACTGCAGTTTTACTACAAATACTGTGGTAAACTGTGGTAACTGTAATAAAACCATGGTTAATTTTTGTAAAAGGCTGCCAGGCTGTTGTACCCCTAAAGGTGAAATTTTAGCATATTTTTTTTCTGACAGATTTATTAACAGCAATTACAGAACATAACACAATCCATTTGAACTTTTAACAACCAGTTTAAATAAATGTACTACAAACTAGCCAATTTAAAATAAATATTACATGTACACAAAGTTTGGGGTCAGTAAGATTCTGTAATATATTTTTTAAGTCTCATGCTCACCAAGGCTGCACTTATTTAAAAAAAAAAAAAGAAGTAAAAGCAGCAATATTGAGAAATATAACAATTAAAAATTACTATTTTCTATTTTAATATATTTTAAAATTTAATTTTAAATGTATCTGTAATCAAAGCTGAATTTTCAGCATTGTTACACCAGTCTTCAGTGTCAAATGATCCTTCAGAAATAATTATAATATTTGCTGCTCAAGAAACATTTATTATTATTGCTGCTTCATATTTGTGTGGAAACCGTGATGCATTTTTCAGAATTAATTTTATATATAGTAACATTGTAATGTAATGTAATAATGTGGCAATGCTTCTGATGCTTTTGGAAAAGGCAGCCCTATTTGAACAAGCACTCTGAGCCATGCGTCAGCAGCGAACGCTGTCTGTGATTGGTTGGTTCTGTCTTTCAGCATTTGCGTGTGTTCCGATGAGCAGGAGAAATGGTTCTATCCAACACAATTATTCGCTAATATAGTCTATTTTTCCACTTAGAAGCTTTTTTTATGCACCGAATTTCTAGATAAGTAAATACAATTAATCTTTAAAAAAAATGCACTTTAGAATCGATATTTTTCTGTGTGTTCCGATGAGCAGGAGAAATGGTTCTATCCAACACAATTATTCGCTAATATAGTCTATTTTTCCACTTAGAAGCTTTTTTTATGCACCGAATTTCTAGATAAGTAAATACAATTAATGTTTAAAAAAAATGCACTTTAGAATCGATATTTTTATGTGAGGATCGATCCTTTCGATACAACATCAGTATCGAAAGTATCGATACTTAAGGATCGATCCGCCCATCCCTAATTTTTACAAAGCGCTCATCCATGGCGTACAGTATAATGTACAACACGGGTATAACTTCATTGTAAATTGATTATTAAATTGTTTGATTAGGGTTTATACATAATTTCAGTGACAGAGTTCAAGATAAATCCTTTAATCTTACTACTGCTGCTAGTTTGCTAGTTTCGAATAATTAATAAAACACAAACTATGCAAAAGCGGCATTCGTTCTCAGCTAAAAATAGCTGGACGGAGTGGACGCAGATGAAACCGGAAGCCAGACCCATAGAATTTACAAATGGCCGCGCCCATTTTTACGACAAGAAAAAGGTGGATAGGGGGCGATTTCGGACACAGCCTAGGAGTAGTGAAGAGTAGACTCCTTCTTCTTCTTCTAATAACGTTTTATGGCGGATGGCAAACCAACTTCTGGTGCATTTACCGCCACCAACTGGACTGGAGTGTGAAGCACTAATAAGCAACTAATATACTGTATACATGATATATATATATACACAAAAACTAAATTCCTAAATTCTCCTGATTAATCCTATTTATTTAATGTATTTAACAATAGCACCATATGTTTTACCTGGTTCTGTATGCTTTTTCAAAAGGCTTGACAAATTAAATGATTCAACACCCATGTTTCTTACTTCCTTAATGAGTTTTAACCTTTCTTTTTCATATTAAGAGGACTCCTAAGTCACTAAAGCCTGTTTTATAGTTTCCGCGTGCGCGTGTCCGCTGTGTGCGTGACGTAAAAATCGTCATCGGAGAGTGCTTCTTTTTCATATTAAGAGGACTCCTAAGTCACTAAAGCCTGTTTTATAGTTTCCGCGTGCGCGTGCCCGCTAGTGTCCGCTGTGTGCGTGACGTAAAAATCGTCATCGGAGAGTGTGCGGACATCCGCGTGCCTCCCATTGGTCAGTAGACGACAAAAGCACCAACTGCGCATGCGCAGGCTGTGTGAATAAGCCCCGTTGCTACTCGAACCTGTACAATCCGTCGATTAAACAAGATAAAGACAGCCAGATGTGCAATAACTGTGGGCACATGTTTGTTTACTGTTCAAGCCGATCTACTGCACATGTATGGAGCACGAACGCGGAGCGGACCATCAGCGTATGCTTTCGGTAACGTTAGTATAAATACAAGTAGTCCGTGTAGGCGTCCGGATTGCTCATGCGGAAAGTATAACACAGGCTTAAAGGGGTCATATGATGTTGCTAAAAAGAACATTATTTTGTGTATTTGGTGTAATGAAATGTGTTTATGCTGTTTAAGGTTCAAAAAACACATTTTCCACATACTGTACATTATTGTTTCTCCTCTATGCCCCGCCTTTCTGAAACGCGTAGATTTTTACAAAGCTCATCGGTCTGAAAAGCGAGGTGTGCTGTGATTGGCCAGCTATCCAGTGCGTTGTGATTGGCCGAATACCTCAAGCGTGTGACGGAACTGTTACGCCCCTCACCATACTGTGATGATGCCCTGTTAGGCCGGAGCGATGATTCAAAAACATGAAAACACATTATAAACGAGGCATTTGTTGCGTCCAATGGGGACATAATTATGGATTATAATGACTTATACTGTCTTTTTACACATTGGATCGCGCCGCGTAAATATAAAACCATTTCTGCATTTGTGATCGGAGAAATGACAAACAACAAGCGCTACTCTACACTGCTCAAAACTCTCGTTTGAATCATCAGTGGCAAATCCTTTAAATATAAAAAACGTACTTACAGTCTGTGAGTCAGAAAAGCCGGCATTGTAGTCTACTCTTCCAGGATCAGGAAACGTCCTCCATAAAATGTGCTGCACACATCTGAATATTTGGGTTGAAGTGTTCTGGAACAGTGTTGTAAATACAACTTAACCACTGATTTCTAGTCGTGTCCATTTTTGGAAGACCAAACAAAGTAGTTTCACTTTCACAACGTAACACAGCGTCACACACGGCGGCCTTGAGTGAGCAGAGGCCGGTGGGCTTGAGAACAGCGCGGCCGGCGGATTCAACAAAGGAGCGTCCAGAGGGCTTGCGGCAACCACATGTGACGACCCCGGGCGGGACTCCGCTTCGTCCACGGTGAAAGGCGATCGACAGTCCGAAGTTGTTGTATTTCCTCAGCAACCAGCACAGATCAGCTCAAGGCATGACGAAACAGATATCCTCTTTTGGAAGACCAAACAAAAGTAGTTTCGCTTTCACAACAAATCACACAGTGCCTTCACGACATGGCGGCGGCAACAATACTACAGCGAGAATAAAAGTTACACCTTCTTTCTTTGCGTGAACATTTGGGCAGTGTTATGCAAATCTTTCCACATATAGTAGACGTGGGGGCGTGTGTTAGAACGAGCCGTTTTAGGTAGGTGTGGCTGACTGAACTTTTATAAAGAATATCTCTTTGGATTTGAGACTTTAGTCTTTGCAACTTTACAGATCTTCTTTATGCACCAAGAGCTTGTAACACTTTAAAGAGATAGGAAAATTTGAAATCGCATCATATGACCCCTTTAAGACCAAACCACAAACTATTGCTAAAATGGCTGTTGCCGACAATCTGCCTCGGAACGTAAACATTTAGAAGTATTTGGCGGTTTTGAAGGTTATCCCAACTCCAAATTTTCCTTTGATTATGTCCTTGTTTTCATTAACCAGTTGGGCAAGTAACAGCTGCTTGTGTCCAGTTTGGTTTTCTTTTACGTTTACATGTATTACTGTCAGCCATGATTATTCTACTCTGTTTATAAAAGGCTGTTTATATGCATATTCACTAATATTGAGAAGCATACATGTAAGAGGCTGACAATTAGCTAAACACATGTTTATTATAGTGACACTTGGCCTGTATTTTAAAATCTTTATTTGAATGTGGCAACATTTTTATTTTTAAACCTTTATCTTTACTATAGAATATTTCTATGTATAAATCTCTGCAGAGACTATCAGCCAATCACTGTGGGCATAGCTAGTAAGCATGCTGACATCATCCATAGCAACGAGGTCAACCCTGCCTTTACTCTTAGCTTAAGACTTCTCTCTATTCCTTAGTAAAAGTTTTTCTCAGCAGCTTTGTGAATAGATTTTAAGAGAAAACTCTTTACTATAGAATATTTATATGTATAAATCTCTGCAGAGACTATCAGCCAATCACTGTGGGCATAGCTAGTAAGCATGCTGACATCATCCATAGCAACGAGGTCAACCCTGCCTTTACTCTTAGCTTAAGACTTCTCTCTATTCCTTAGTAAAAGTTTTTCTCAGCAGCTTTGTGAATAGATTTGAAGAGAAAACTCTTTGCTAAAAACATTTACTGCTATTTAGGAGAACTCTTAGTGGTAAGATAAAATGTTTTGTGAATACGGGCCCAGATTCTTACCTATTTCTCCTTGTTGATTTTCAGAGACTCGAGTCACTTGATTTTGACCAAAAAGAGTCTTTCAGATTCTGATTCGATTGTTGATGTTACATTTATGCTAGTAGGTGGCGACAAATGAGCCATCAAAACAGACATTATTATCCTTTGTTAAAAATTTGCTTGTCTACAAATGTCAACTAATGGTTTTCCTAACAAATGACAACAAAATAGATCTATTTTTGCTTATTCATGAATGTAATAAACAGAATAGAAAACAGTGTGAATTTACACCACTTTAACATTTTATTTAGAAGTTGTTCAAATAGACAGAGCAGGGAGAAGTAGTGATCACATTGTGGCTGTGGGTTTGCCCCATCCACTTCTCTCCTGGAATATAAAAAAAAGAGAATTAATGGACAATGAACAGTACATCACCAACAATTTTATGATTTAAATCATGATACAGCACAACAAATTATCAAGAAAATTGTATGGTAAATATAGGAATATAATAATAATAAACTCAAATCTGAGTATTAATAAACAGGACACTTGTTGACCGGTGATTTTCAGTTGTCCATGATGTCAGTTTTTACAAATCTTAAATCTGTAGTCAGTTTTTCCATGTCCATGTCATTGTAGTGCTAAATATAAACTATGACTGGAAAGTGATGTAGACAAATTAGCATAGAATATTTAATAACAAAGCATGAATAACATACTTATCTTGCAAGAGAATCATTTAATTTTTTTTTTTATCTTGACAGTAACTGGAATAGCCTTTATAAAAATAAAAATATCAACCTGTTATTTTCTTTATAAGAGAAAGAAATCAAATGTCTTGCATTGCGCATTATAAATCTGTTCATAAGAACCATCTGAGAGAAACGGTGGCTTGAATACCTTTCTCAGAAAGGCTTGAAGATGAAAACATAGGGACTCCAACATACTCAGACAGCAGCTTCAGATCTGAGACCATGTACAGAAGTTTACTAGGGTTCAATCCAAGGGGGCGGTTACCTAGGGAAAGAACAATCTTGATAAGGGTTTCAGCCTTCATCTATAAATAAAACAAATGTTCACATATAGTGGACAACTGTGCATTACAAATTATACTTAAGCGGTTAGAAGATTATTGCTATACAAGGCTCGAAATTTCGACCATTTGGGTCGCATATGATCCCGAAATGTAATCTGTGCGAGTGCGACCTCAAAATATATTTGGGAGCATTTGTGCGAGTGCATATAATTGTTGTCGTGCGACCTGTTTTCATTTCTCTAAAAATGTTCAGAGTATGTGCCTTCTGAGTGTTGATACGGTGACCTGTCTGCAGTTCTATGAAACGTTAGGCTACATAACCAATTAAACTATATCTTTACATTCTTAACTTTAATGCAGATTTGAGTTTGGTTAATATTAGCTGTCAACCACCCAGTCACTGCTTTCCGTTGTCAGGTGACAGGCTAACTACCGCGGGGAATGAAAAAAGGCTGAAGAAGAGAGAAAATAAAAAAAGAAACACTGACAGATTTTTTTTGTGAACCACCTAAAGTTACATATAATGGTGCTGGTGATAGCGATCATGTGGTGAATGTTGATCCACCAGCCAAATAGAAGGCGTACAGTTTTCGGAGAGAGTGGTTGAAAGACTTCTAGTGGCTCCGCTATGAAAATGGTTCTATGCATTGCGTTCACTGTAAAGCCTGTGGGACGGAGTTTGCAGGTAACAGCGTTCGCCACCGAATCTACACATTTCCTAATTGCTGTTTTACTATGTGCGGTTTGACATTATCGAGTATATTGCAAAATCCAAACAAAACACACCTACAGAGAGTGCACGCACACATGACGTGAAGTCTATTAGGTTAGATTAGTGCGCGTGCGCATTTAGAGTGCGTTCTTTCACGGCATGATTCAGTCTAATAAAATGCATCACAAAATTCAAGATATGGGGACTTTACATCATTTCATATAGTTCAGGGTTAAGCAACGTCGGTCCTGGAGTGCCGATGTCCTGCAGAGTTTAGCTCCAACCCTGAAAAAAACAACTCACTTGTCTGTAGCCTTAGTAATCCTGAAGACCTTGAATAGCTTGTTCAGGTGTGTTTGATTCACACAATATGAAGAATATAAAAAAATGTAGGAGTCAGCTGTCCACTGTAGTCCTTAAGATATCAGCACAGTAACACTCAGTCAAATTATTGTTATCGATAAAATCCCAGAAAATATCGAGATATCATTTTTTGTCATGGTTCTGTTCTGTTCATGGACTTATTTTCTATTTTCTGTTTCCCCCTTGATTATTATTAAGTCATTTAGTCCCTCTCTTGTCTGTGTATTTAAGTTCCCTCCTCAGTTCCTTTGGTTGTCGGTTATTGTTGAATGTTATCCTGTGTGTTAGAACCTCTTCATCTTGTGGATTACCATTAAAAGGATTTGTTTACATGATCTTTGTTATCGTCTTCATCATCTTCCTAGCAGCAGTGTGACAGATTTGTTTGTTGATGTTACATTTATGCCAGTAGGTGGCGACAAATGAACCATCAAAACAGGCATTATTATCCTTTGTTAAAATTTGCTTGTCTACAAATGTCAATTAATGGTTTTCCTAACAGATGACAACAAAATAAGTCTATTTTTGCTTATTCATGAATGTAATAAACAGAATAGTTTGGGATAATTATGGGGTGGCAATGCTTTTTCTTAGGGTGGCAGTTGCCACTCAACGCCACACCAGTAGATCTGCCCCTAGCTGTACTTAAAAACATTAGAAGTCAATGTCCTCTTTTAGATGTAAGTGTGTGTGTTTGCTGTTGAATTGAAACAATGTGAATTTACACCACTTTAACATTTTATTTAGAAGTTGTTAAAATAGAGCATGGAGGAGTAGTGATCACATTGTGGCTGTGGGCTTGTTAGGGTGAGGCCCCATCCACTTCTCTCCTGGAATATAAAAAAAGAGAATGAATGAATGAACAATGAACAGTATGTCACAGTACACTCACATTGACCCGCTTTGAAACAGCAACATTAAAGGCACAATATGTCATTTTCGCCGCTAGAGGGCGCGTATTCAAAATAAACAAAGAAGCAAAGGCGTAGTTTGATGATGCTGTGACTGAGTGTGGAGTCATGGGAGTTGTCGACTTCATCCCCACAGCTGATGCAATCCGACGGGACTCGGGCAGAAATCATGTTCATGGATGAGCTAAAGATTTATTAACATAGTAGAATGAAGCAGGGTGAGGCTGAAAGCCGTCGAAGTGAAACGAGGCCGCTGAACGAGCGTGACACACTGCTCGAAAGCAGCGGAGCTTTTATTATGTCACAGTCAACCGCTTCCACTCCTTCCGGTCGTGCGTATGTGGGGAAAAAAGCAGCGCTGTTTTATCATACTAGATACATTTGAAAGTTCTGTTATAATGCTACTTTGTGCGGTCTTCACTGGTCTATTAAAACACATAACATATTAAAGCATCTTTGGTGTTTCCATGTTTTCTACAAAACAAAACCAGAAATTGAGGGGAAATTGCTTATTTTGCTGGATTTAAACATTCTTCGAAACATTTGGGATAACGTAAGTACACAAGTAAGCAAAATATGTAACACTGTTCTAGTGGCTTTTGGATATTTTAATATAAAAAGATCAGATATATTGTGGCTTTAATTGGTTTAATTGCAGGTGAGTGACAATTCAACTATACCAATGAGGCTAGTATTTTGCTGCCTGTCTTGACTGGTGGACTTGCTTATAGGGGATGTTACGGTTATGGAGGCCCCGCCTTAAAGCCAGAGGCAATATGTGACCCTGCCTGGAGCACAAAACCAGTCTTAAGGCGCTGGGGTATATTTGTAGCAATAGCCAAAAATACATTGTATGGGGTCAAAATTATAGATTTTTCTTTTATGCCAAAAATCATTAGGATATGCCAAAGTTGTCACGGTGCATGCGGGGAGATGAAGCGAGGACTCAATTGCAGGAGAAATGGTTAGCATCTTTGGTGTTTCCATGTTTTCTACAAAACAAAACCAGAAATTGAGGGGAAATTGCTTATTTTGCTGGATTTAAACATTCTTCGAAACATTTGGGATAACGTAAGTACACAAGTAAGCAAAATATGTAACACTGTTCTAGTGGCTTTTGGATATTTTAATATAAAAAAATCAGATATATTGTGGCTTTAATTGGTTTAATTGCAGGTGAGTGACAATTCAACTATACCAATGAACAATGAGACTAGTATTTTGCTGCCTGTCTTGACTGGTGGACTTGCTTATAGGGGATGGTACGGTTATGGAGGCCCCGCCTTAAAGCCCGAGGCAATATGTGACCCTGCCTGGAGCACAAAACCAGTCTTAAGTCGCTGGGGTATATTTGTAGCAATAGCCAAAAATACATTGTATGGGGTCAAAATTATAGATTTTTCTTTTATGCCAAAAATCATTAGGATATGCCAAAGTTGTCACGGTGCATGCGGGGAGATGAAGCGAGGACTCAATTGCAGGAGAAATGGTTATTTTAATAATAAAAATGAAACAAAAACAAACTCAAACCACCCCGAGGGGGAAAAACAGACAGGCAGGCCTAAAGCTGCACCACATGCAGACACGAAACACACACAATGAGAAATGACGGATCAGCACAGGATGACAGACACCAGGAGAATAAATAGGAAACCAAACGAGCAGGCTAACGAGGGAGACACAGGTGGAGCAACTTATACAATAACTAGGTAACAAGATGGGAGGGGCCCGACAATAGACAGGAGAGAGCACATGGCAACAGACAAACACAACACAAGCCATGTGCTCCCAGAACACAGTCATCTGGTGGCCCTCCTGGGCACACTTGCTGAAGACTGTGACAAAAGTAAAGATCATGTTCCATGAAGATATTTTGTAAATTTCCTACTGCAAATATATTAAAACATAATTTTTTATTTGTAATATGCATTGCTAATAACTTAATTTGGACAACTTTAAAGGCAAGTTTCTCAATATTTAGATTTTTTTTGCACTCTCAAATTCCTGATTTTTAAATTGTGGTATCTCTGCCAAATATTGTCCTATCATAACAAAACATATATCAATGGAAAGCTTATTTATTCAGCTTTCAGATGATGTATAATATACATCTCAAAAATTGTTTTGTGGTCCAGGGTCACATATAGCTGCTCTGCCTATAGGTAGCGCCGACCCTGCACATCATAAATCCGTCTTTTTGGCAAGTACCAGATAGTCTATGGAAGTAATGTAATAAAATATCTTTAATACTACTGAATTTGAATTTATCATGATAACAATTTAATAAAAGCAAACTACTAATTATAAAGCTTTCATTTCCATGATTATTCAAACGGAATAAATACAGAAAGTGAGCAAAGAACCTTCACTTTATCAAGTTTAAGTTGAGAGTTTAAGCACTCTCAAAAAATAAACTCTTGTTATAATCAATGAATCTGTATATACTGTGAAATTAATCTCTTAAATTCTACGTACATCTGCACTTTGTTGTTTATCAGAGAACTGGCAAGAGTGCAGAATTCAGTCAGCGCATGCAAGCACTGAGCAAAACTCTGGTGTTTCAGAGATGACTCATCTGAACGAGTCCGATTGCTGGCCATTGCATTCATAAGATCAACAGTGTGTGATCAGTTACAATGCTCAACGCTGTTAAACGTGTAAAAAATATGGGCGACAGCCGTGATAGATTTATTTTAACTGCACAGGGGCATTTTTTTTTAAAATAGGTAAAACATTTTTGCACCCAAAATTGTTATACCATTCCAGATACCATTCCAAATTTAGGGGCCACCCCCACATTTATTGTTGCTCACTCCAGACACAAGTATAAAGTCTTTGCATACATATATGAAATTTATGAAATGTTCACACACACTTGAACACACTTCTTATGCTCCACATACACAAACACTTACGGCATTCTAATACGTGGAAGGTACTCTTTGAATTTTAAAAACAGTATGTGGGATTGATTTCATGAGCGTGCTGTGTGTACAAACAGTCTTTTATGAGACTATAAGACTGTTGCACATGTGTGGCCAAGACTAAATAAATGAATCACTCTATGAGACAACTCGTTTGAGTTATTTAAAAGATAAGTTCAAAATCAAAGAATTGTTCATGGACAAACCACGACTAGTTTACACTTTTTAACATGACAGTTATTGAAGTAACTTTTCTAAAAATATAAAGCATAACGTAAATTTGTAAAATAATTGACGATGGCATTAGTCAAACTAATTGTTAATAAAGGTTATTGGGTAATTTGTTAACAGTTTACATCCCTAGTTCATAGTTACCGATGCGTTGAGCCATGAGCTCAAATCTGTCAGAACCAAAGAAGACCTCAGTCTTCCCGTTCACATCACACACGATGAACGGAAGACCAAAGACCATTTATTTACCACTATGAAAAGACAAAGGGTTTAAAAACACAAGTAAAAGGCACTGACTCGATAGTCCAGTGCTTCTTGTGTGACACTCTTCAGCTTGTCTCTGATTTGCTGAGTTTGGGAAAGGATCAGAAATTCTTCCACCTCACTGGCTGAGAGACCTGCCTTTAATCCTGCCTGTGCAAAACAGAAAGGTAAGCCTATAGTTAACACACTATTTTATCAAACAGTAGTTTGTTTTATTATCTTTCCTACTGGTTTACTATAGATCAATATGCCAGTCCTCACCTTGGTGCTAAAATGAAATTGTTTCATATGCATAATGGAATGGAGTAATAATTTAAAGATTATCACGTAAATGTTAGTGATTGTTTTCTCATTTAGTTTGATTTAATTTCTTAATCTTGGGTATAGGATACCTCAATTAATGAGGCAGGCTGGGTAATGTCCTGATGAGTGCTCCAGACATTCTTCCAGAGCTCTCTAGACACCCTTTCCACCAGCACGCCTCCCTCTTTTTCCTTCT